TATAATACTCTCAACAATAAAATTTTTTTTAAAAAAAGAGAAAAACCTTCATGTGATCTGCTCAATGTCACATAAGTCAATCAATAGTCATTGATTTATTAACATTTATTATTCATTCATTCATTAACAGATTTATTTATAGGTCACAGAATCACATTTTTAAAAAGAGAAAGTGGAAGAAAGCATTCAGTTTTTTTGTTTGTTTTCTTAATAACTGGAAGGTGTCAAATAAATGAAAGAAGAGAGGCAGTATAGATTTTTGGGGAAAAACCACATTAGGAGCTAAAAATCATTCTGGTTAGGAAAGAATGTCAGGAATCTGCATGTCATATCTTTTTTTATCCATTTCATTTTAGGACTAAATCCTCAAATAGGGTGGGAAAAGAATGCAACAAAGAGCATCATTTATATATCCTTGTAGAATTCACAGTTTTAAAATCCAAAAGCTTCAGATGGTAGTTTCATTATATGACTTATGCTATAAAGATGAGACATTATTTTTGAAAAACAGATTTTTATTATTACCAAAAGGGAAAGAGACTCAATAAACACACATCAGAAATGCCCAGCATATTGAAAGCCAAACCCAATTCTAAGAGCTTCTCCTCTACCCATTCTTTCTCTTTTTTAGTAACATTAGAGAAATTAAGAAAGGTATAAAAAATAAAATTTAAAAACCACAAGAGAGAACAATGGCTAACATTATGATGTTTCTCCTTCTGGTCTTTGCACTAATTGTATTTTACCAAAATCATAATCTTCTTGCATATATATTTTATATCCTGATTTTCTTCACCTAACGTTTTATGATTACCAGTTCTGAATTTCATTCAATATATCAAAGAGGTTACAGATTTTGTGTTATCTTGATTTTTTTCTGAATTTTGGAAATAATACATGCTAATTTTAATGGGCAAAACAAGTTATCTATAATAATAAAAACGTAATGTGCTAATTAGACAGAACAGCCAAATGACCTTCCAGACGTCATTCCAGACGTTCTTCCTGACGAAGCTGCGGTGTCAGGGGCTGAGGCAGAGTCGGTTAGGGGTGATCAGGCAGGCAGGCAAGTGGTTAGGGGTGATCAGGCAGGCAGGGGAGTGGTTAGGGGAGATCAGGCAGACAGGCAGAGAGGTTAGGGGCGATCAGGCAGGCAGAGGTGGTTAGGGGTGATCAGGCAGGTAGGAGAGCAGTTAGGGGCATCAGGCAGGCAGGCAGGCAGGCAGAGTGGTTAGGGGCTATCAGGCAGGCAGGCAGGCTAGCAGTTAGGAGCCAGTGGTCCCAGATTGTGAGAGGGATGTCCAACTGCCGGTTTAGGGCCAATCCTAGGGATTGGGCCTAAACCGGCAGTCGGACATCCCCCAAGGGGTCCCGGATTATGAGAGGGTGCAGGCCAGGCTGAGGGATCTCCCCCCTCCCCCACCATGCACTAATTTCATGCACTGGTCCTCTAGTCTCTCTATATAAAAGCCTTAATGACCATTATGACTGAATGACTGGTCGATCAGTCGCTATGATGCGCACTGACCACCAGGAGGCAGATGCTCAACGCAGGGGCTGCCCCCTGATGGTCATTTCGCTCCCACAGCCAACCTCCCACAGCCCCTCCCCTACACCCCTGCTGGCCGCCCTACCCCCCTCCCGCCATCGGCCCCGATAGGGGCGCTGGTTAGCCAATCTCCTGTAGTCCCTCCCCACCACCGGCCAGCCCCACAATAGGCCTCAACCCTGGCCAGGCTGAGGGACCCCACCCATGCACAAATTCGTGCACCAGGCCTCTAGTAAAAGTATAAAAAAGAAAAAAGCACATACTTCTATAACACTTTGATTCCATTTTTACTCATAAAAAACAGCCACTTTTAATAGTTTACTGAATATTTTTCCTGCCTTGTTTCTGTACTACATAAAACATAACAATTTGCATTTCTATTCTCTCAGTAATGAACATCGAAGAGGTTTCAGTTTTTCACTTAAATAGTATAATGAACATTTTTGCATATTTTTTAATTAATTAATTAATTAATTAAAATATACTTTATTGATTTTTTACAGCGAGAAAGGGAGAGGGATAGAGAGTTAGAAACATCAATGAGAGAGAAACATCGATCAGCTGCCTCCTGCACAACCCCTACTGGGGATATGCCCGCAAACAAGGCACATGCCCTTGATCAGAATCGAACCTGGGACCCTTTAGTCTGCAGGCCGATGCTCTATCCACTGAGCCAAACTGGTTAGGGCACATTTTTGCATATTAATATTCAAAGCAATAAAATTGAAAGTATTTCAAGATATAAAAATAAAACCTTTTTCCTGTCTTTCATAACAAAAATATAGACTTTGCTTTATTTGTTAATTCAAAGTTGTGCCAATATTTTATTATTGTTATTATTTATTTTTAATTATGGGCAATTTTAATAGTAAGTTCCAATATTCCAGAAGTCCCTTGGGTGAATGGATGCATAGTGGATATTTAGTCATTATCTCACGTTTTTACCACCCTGCACCCACCATGCCCATCAAGCACATTCTAAAAAATAACCAAGTTGATATTAAGATTTATTAGAGAAATGTACCCAACGTACCAAATAATCAAATTCCCAGGAAGTTGTGAAAAGTAATTGTCACAATAGTATCTGGGATCCGCAAGGACAAGCACACCAACACAGGAGACTTACATGACATTCCAAGTCCAGGTTTATATTTTACTTAGGTACCCACCTCCAGAACTATCGCAAGGCCATCAGGGATGTTTTTGGCATGAGCTCAGAGTTGCACATATCTGTACACATATTAAAAATATATATGCCTACAATGCAAAAGAAAACATGATTTAAGCACAGTACAAAATACATTTTGTTTAAATTGTCTCAAGACTAGTTTATTTGAATACATGCAGGAATAGAGGATCATCTTAAAGGTGATAAAACTTAATAGATTTTAACTTCATGTGATCATGATTTTTTTCTTTTAATTTATCTTTATTATTGAAAGTATTACAGATGTCCCTTTTTTTTCCATTGACACCCTCTAACCTGTTCCCACCCTCCACCTCAGGCCTTCACCACCCTATTGTCTGTGTCCAAGGGCTATGCATATATGCATACAAGTTCCCTAGTTAATCTCTCTCCACCCTACCCCTATCCCTGCCTTCCTTCTGAAATTCATCAGTCTGTTCAATGTTTCTGTGTCTCTGGATCTATTTTATTCATCAGTTTATTTTGTTCCTTAGATTCCACATATGAATGAGATCATGTGATACTTTTCTTTCTCTGACTGGCTTATGTAGCTTAGCATAATACTCTCCGTGATGTTGCAAATGGGAAGGGTTCATTCTTTTTTATAGTCATGTAGTATTCCATTGTGTAGATGTACCATAGTTTTTTTATCCACTCATCTGCTTATGGGCACTTGGGCTTTCGTTGCTACTTCATAACTGTAATGTTGCTACTGTTATGAATTGTAATGTAAATATCTGATATGCAGGATGATCTTAGGCGACCCCTGTGACCACAGTAAGCAGAGGATGTGGGAATTTACCCATGTAGCTTGACTCCACAGTCATTGTTCCACCAAAGGATGAGTGAAGTGTAGTCTTTTAGTTCAAAGGATAAAAAATGTCAGGCTTACTTTCTTTAATTAAACATATGTGGGTCTCCCTTATTTCATGAGAAAATGGAAACATTCCGCTGATGGAGAATTAGTAGAAAAGTCAACACAGCTATTTTTTTGTAATCATACAAGCTGCTGACACACGTATTCTAAACTCCTGGGTGATGTCACTGTGTCAACAATCACAAAGCCTCTTCAATCCAGACATAAAACAACAACAACATGTAAAACTTGTAATGTTTGACCTTTAGAAACTGCATTTTCATATTTTAATCCAATTTTATTCTCACAGGGATCCTCTAGGTGTGCATCATTCGTGCCGTGTTTTTTTTTTTTTAATGAGGAAACTAAGATTAAAAGCTTTAAAAACCTGTGTTTTACTTAACATCACAAACTAATACATGACAGAGCCAGAACTAAAAGGGGCAGATGTCAAAGGGAAGTTGAAAGATTAACCCATTTTTTAAAAATATATTTTATTGATTTTTTTCAGACAGGAAGGGAGATGGGATAGAGAGCTGGAAACATCGATGAGAGAGAAACATCAATCAGCTGCCTCCTGTACACTCCCCACTGGGGATGTGCCCGCAACCAAGGTACATGCCCTTGACTGGAATCGAACCTGGGACCCTTGAGTCCGCAGGCTGACGCTCTATCCACTGAGCCAAACCGGTTAGGGCTAGATTAACCCATTTTTGTATCAACTTCTAAACCTCTCTTCACCATCAGTATTTATATTAATCATGCTTGACCCTTATGCTTCGCATTTTTCCATGCTCAAAGTGCCCCGCAAATCCTCTAACATATATTGAAGCCCTCACTTCATCCCAATGAGATAATTCACGGAGAGTAACAACACACGTGGTTTTCAGATGTAGAGACTGGGATTTCAAGGGGCCAACAAGTTCTCCTAGTCAATGCAATACAATAATCTTATAGAGTTTTACAAACCTGAGTTGAATTTATTTTTTAATATGGAAAGACATGTCTTTTCTCACGGGAGAGATTATTCTAGAATTTCAGAGCTGTACAAATATATTTTCCGTAACCTCGTCATCTGGATTGCCCTTCTCTGAGAAAGCAAAGGGTTCATGCAAGCAATTAGTTCTGCTGATTATGATCCAGGCTTTCTCTTTGTTCTTTTTTGGAATTCTAAGAGGTAAAATATTTTTCTCTCTCTATTCTTCCTTTCCTTATGAGCAAAGACTCATCAGCATGCCCACTCTCCAACCCCTGTATTTTTCATACCCTCCCTGGCCACAAGCACTAACAGTTCATTAGCACAATGGTTCTCAGACTTTAGCATTCCTCAGAATCATCTGGAATCATCTTGTTAAAACGCAGATTGCTACACCCCCCGCCCCCCCCCCCCCCCCCCCCCCCCCCCGGGGTTTCTGATTCAGTCCGTCTGGAGTGGGGAAGGATAGCTGGCATTCCTAACAAATGTCCAGGGGATGCTGCTGCCGAGCTGGTCTGGGGACCACACTTTGGGAACCACGGGACTAAGTACTTCCCCCACATGTTCCCTGTCCCCACAGAAAAGCTTCCAGCAGCTAAGGTTCATGAGCACAAACGGTGCTCAGAGCCTTGGCCGCACACTAAGGCTTCTATCTGGAGGGGAAAGAATGGTTGGCCTGACTCACGGTCTTTTCAAGCTTTGCCAGCCACAAAATTAAAAACAGAAAAGGGCTGCAGTGAAAGCAAAATGGAAACAGCCACAGTGACACTGTCTACATGGTGAGCCTTACAGCATGACTTCTGGAGTCAGGACAAGAGATATCGGGATGATTCAGGTGCCCGTACGCGGAGCGCGCTAGGAGCTGGCACCACAGGCCTCACAGGAAGCCGGAGCTCCTGTCCCGACCCCAGGAGCCAGTCGGATGCTTGGCTCCCAGTTTTCTTCAACTGTCGACAGTACGTTCTTCCACTGACTTCTCCAAACACACATCGACCTAAAACGCTTTGGATGAACTAACTTCTTCCACAACTTCTCTACTATTTTTTTAAGCCAATAAGCAAATACCGTTGGAGCATCAGGCAGGTAGACAGAAAATCTGGAGAGAGACGCTGGCAAAGAAGTTTCCTTCCAGCTCCTTTATTTTTATAACCATCGCCTCTAGACAACTCTCAAAGGAGACTTGAATCCCATTTTTCATCTCTTTGAAACAAGTAAGGCATTTTAATGTAGTGGTATAAAGTACCTCAGTATTCTAGTTTATCAGAAGTGTGACTAGTATTTTAAATAACAGAGATTAAATAACAAAATGATACTGACAAGAAATATTATTATAAGACATAGCATTTCCGCTTAAAAAATAAGCTATTAACTCTACCTTTATTTAATTTAGCAATATTTTGCAGAAACTACTGACCTTTTATTCTGATCACCATGAGTCCATAAAATTTCAAGATATGGGCCAGCCAGTGAATAATATGCTACTAAGTAATAAACCCATACCATCCAATGCACTTTTTCTGCCCTCGTCTAAAGAAAAAGAAGAGAAATGCATAATGGTAAGGTCCCTGAATGCACCCGTTTTGAAGGAAGGAAGCCACTCTGTAGGAGCATGAGTCACCAGAACTACTTCCTTAGTGATAAAAGTTGCCTAAGTAACCTAGATGCCTGGGCAGTCTGCTGGGTTTCAAACCACTAGTCATTTCCGTTACTTAATTGCTAACTGCTCTTCCCCACTGCAGTTTGGGGCCTGTGTTTTATGTAGTAACCCAGCAACTAGTTGTTATGTGATATTTTATCAAGGACAACAGAACAGGAAATTTTACATTTCCATGAATTTCAGAGTAAAAGTCGGTGTTATTTCATTCTAACTTTAAGGGGGGATAATTACGTTACTCACACTAGGTCTCCCTGCGGTAGAATGATTATGTAAGGCTTGGAGACAAAATGATTTAACAGAGAAGGGAGAAGTAGACCAGATGCCCTCTGAGCCAAAGGAAGGTGCTGGATTCATTTCTGGGTCCTTAGCACCCAGCAGAGAACCAGGCACACACTAGGACTCCAAATACATTGACTGAAGGGGGTCACTAATTCTCCGCAGAAAAATCCAGTCTGTTAAGTAACTGTGCCACTACCGAGTTAGGATTTCATCAGGCTGTTTAACACTTTCATGCATTCTTTTACCCTTGAATCTACAAAGAACTGTCATATTTGTTACTCTTGCCCTTATACACATGTGCAGTAATTCCCCCGCCCCCTTTAATCCTTCCGAAGATATGTTCCTATTGATTTCAGACAGAGAGGAAGGGGCGGGGGGGGAGAGAGAGAGAGAGAGAGAGAGAGAGAGATTGAGGGAAACATCGACTAGCTGCCTTCTGTAGGCACCCTGACCAGGGATGGAACCCACAACCTGCATATGTGCCCTCACCAGGAATTGAACCTGCAGGATGACACTCCAACCAACTGAGCCACATTGGCCCAGGCACATGTGAAGTGCTTTAAAGTATTTTAAATAGAATTGGTGTTGATGAGCATTACTTGGAAACAATCTTAAATGTATTGACAATAAGATTAGTATGGTGCGCCCTAACCGGTTTGGCTCAGTGGATAGAGCGTCAGCCTGCGGACTCAAGGGTCCCAGGTTCGATTCTGGTCAAGGCCATGTACCTTGGTTGCGGGCACATCCCCAGTGGGGAGTGTGCAGGAGGCAGCTGATCGATGTTTCTAACGCTCTATCCCTCTTCCTTCCTCTCTGTAAAAAATCAATAAAATATAAAATAAAATTTAAAAAAGATTAGTATGGTGCAAGAAATGTTAAAAGCTGGATAGCAAGCTCATATGTGTTATCAGTAATGTTCATTTAGCTTTGCCTTGAGAATCTTGGTTTTCCTGTAATTCACTGGACTTCTCATTTCACACAACTCTCTCATGATTCTTGAACGGTACAATATTAGTACCCCGCATGTTAATAAATCTCCCTAAAATTCAAACTAATGGAGAGTAAGTATGATTTAGAGGTAGAGTTAGGGTTATGTGTTCCAAATATGTGGGCAGTTTATTTCTTTTCCACTAGCAAATGTGGTTAAGGGTTTTTATCCACTTAATTGTATGCAGGAGTCATATGTCATATATATCAAATCATTCTGGTAGTTGAGTCAGAATTAAGAAATGAGATCTCCATAGAAAACCCCTAAAACTGTCCAGAAATGTCTTGATGATTCATTAAGGACATCATATTCTCTGAATTCAGAGGGGTCCTATTGCAACAGAACAGGAGAAAAAGAAGTCCAAAGAGTTAAACTGATACTTTGATAAGAATGCCAAAGAGACCCGAGGATGTCACCAACAGCGGTACAACACCATGGCATGTGAGGTGCCACAGCACAGTGAAGTTAGAGTGTAGAGTCTAGAACCAAAAGTCCTGGGTTCAAATCCCAGGTCTGCCACTTCCTGGCTGTGTGAGCCTAAGTGAGTTACTTACATTCTCTGAAATAACTTAGTGTTACTTACTTTCTTCATATGTCTAATAGGGCTGTTGTGAGGATTAAATAAGTTAGCGCATGCTAAATAAGTTAACACTTGGCATACAGCAGGGGCTCAGTATATGCCAGCAATCATTATGATTACCATTAGCTTTCCTACCTGGGCCAGACTCCGATTTTAGTAATGACATCACAGCATGCCTAGTTATCATGGACATGAAACTAACCCAGTGTTAGCAAAAGAAAAACCCTGACCTAGCCATGCAAGGATCTCTGCACTGGATCGTCCTCACACATGTCTTAACTACTAAAGTTCTAGCCATGGCAGAGAGATAAATTACAATATTGTATCAGAATAATGTTTCATAATTTATGCTATGAAAAAAATGTATTGAGTCTACATTAAATTCAAGTTCCCTGATATTTTTTGCAGTTATTCCACATTTCCATGAGTCACTTTAGAGAGCATATTTCAGTACTTAGCTAATTAGAAATACAAAACCTCACACAATAGTTTAGACACCACTGCAATAGAATTATGAAGAGGGCTGTCAATCCCTTTATTCTGCTGCAGTTTACTCAGAATGGCTTTTCTTTACTTATTTCTTATGATTTTAATACATCTTGATTATATTTTGCCTTGCATAGTTTCATCATTATGCCATCTACACTAATAAAAGAGAAACATGGTAATTAGCGTACGACCGCTACCCTTCCCATTGGCTAATCAGCATATCCTTATGCAAATTAACTGTCAGCCAAGATGGTGGCCAGGACCCATGCACTGAAGCGAGCAGAGAGGCTTGCTTGCTCCAGTGACTGCGGACTCCAACGTTCCCCGCCTAACTTGCTGGCCTCTCAGCTGCAACTCTAAGCAACTATGTACTATGCTGCAAATAAGAAGCTAAACAAAACCCCAGAAACCAGCCGGACTGAAAGCCAGCCGAACCGCAACATTGTATCGATGTGTTCAGCAGCGAGGCCTCAGAGCTAAAGCTGGCCCAGAATAAAAAAAAAAGAGAGAGAGAAGAAAACAAGGAGCGGTTGGAAGCTTTAGTCAC